CTGGCAGAGCCCTGTGGCCTCCCTGTGCAGTGCGCAGCTCTTTTGGGAGCAAGGGGAAGGGGACAAGTAAGCAGGTCCCCCTACACCCCCACTTAGCACATCTCTGTGGGGTCTGACCAGGGCAGCTGGTGCGTGGCCTAGGGTGAGGAAGCCCCTGTGGAATGGTTTTTAGAGGTGATGCCAAGTGGGTTTTGGACAGATCTTTTCCCCCCTTTGGTGTGATGGGTATTAGGAGGGGGGAGGGAGGTCACGATTCCTAGTGTCCTTTCTATTTCACCCTCTACGTCCCTAGGACAAGGTCACTGCATGCTGCAGGGAGTGTGGTAGCTCCACACTGTCCTTGGTGGGGAGGAGAAGGACACATGAGCCTGTCGTGCCCCCACTGCTGCCACTCGCCATTTGTGGGACACCAATGACAAGCGCTGAGACAGCACAGGAGCCTTTAGCTATATCCAGGGTGTTGCTCCGTGTTTACCAGTCCAACCTCCATGTTCCTGGTTGCTGGTACAGGATGTGTGTGTGCGGAGACAAAGGTTGGGGGGGGTCACATTCTTGCTTACACATGCAGCACGCTTCCCTTGCCCAGAGTCCCCACTAACCTTGCTGTGGCACCCTTGAAGGACATGTGGATCCAGAAGGGACCCACTGGGCTGCAGGCAGGGCTAAGGGCTTTCCCTCCTCTGTGACCCCAGGGCGCAGGGTAGGGCAGCATAGCTAAGGGGTGGCAGGAGGGCTCATCGTCCTTGGGCAGCTCTCGGCAGCTGGTCTGAAAGGTGGGTGCCCTTGCACAGTGCACATTGGTTTTGAGACCCATTTATTTAAAATACACATGTTCAGGGAGGGCAAATTTACACATGTGCATCTGTGCATGCAGAGGCACTCAGGGCCTGTGCAAGGTGGGGAATGGCTCCTTCCCACGACCAGCAAGCCCTCCCTGACCCGACCCCATGTGTCCTCCCTGCAGCCTGCCCAGCCATGGCAGCCTCGCTGAGCCGCCCCTGCTTCATCTCCCTCCACATACCCTGCAGGCAGAGCTGGGCCCAGGAACTGGTCCACACC